GCTTGCGGGAACGTTGAACAACCGCGGAGGGACAGTGCAGTAGACCACCGAAACAATCATCATCACAGCGGATTCTTGTCTGTCTGCAATACCCTCAGTCAATCCACAGAACACATGAACCCTGAGCTGAAACACAAATCCCCAACGAGTGAAACCAACGAGACGGATGAGAGAATCGAGCCCACACGATCGCAAAACGACCGACAGTCCAGCTGACTCGACTGCGATCGGACGAGCCTTTTTACTGGGCCGGCAGTCGATCGGCCTGGCGGAGATATTCTCCGGGTCATCGTGCTGACGGGACGCGGGTCAGGTCGATATGCTCAGGGCGGCGATGCAGTCGGTTCCACTCTGTCGCCGTCGCCGGTCCACGGCCGCCGACTGTGAAATATACTGACTCGGTGGTGCAGCCGTGTGCGAGCCCTCCTGAATGGGCGACCGAGTGGCTATCTGGTAAAGCCTCTCAGACGAGGAGTGTGAAAATTCAATCGAGTCTGGATCGTAATGCCGAATGGGCTTCCGTATAGGTGATATTTATTGGCCTATTGTGTTTTCTTGATAGCATCCGGTAAACGTTCAAATGGTAAGCATTCAAAGGGAAGGCTTAGACAGTCTACCAGCTCTAGAAATAGAACGAGTGTAACGTCTGGCATTTTACCTGCCTATATTTCATGATACATTTTATCTCTTTCCAATATCAAATCGATTACTTGATTTTATCAATTCATCCTCATAATTACTACATAATCACTGTCTTAGTTAAAAGCAACCAACGCGACAATGCAACAGCACCATTCCAAACCATTATCGTCCGCACATTATTTGAACGGCGCTCGACTCTGAAGTGAGGTAGTCAGTTGGCGCAGATCGAGTTAGAGTTGAAACAGTGGAGGATCTTTGAACGCGCCGGGCCCTCTCGAGCTGAGTTACAGTGGTCAGACAATTGGAGATCGGGACACGAGGGTCATTCGGCTCAAACATGTAGCCCGGATTCTGGTTTCAGTCTGTCGCAGTCCTGGCCCCAGAGACGATCGGGGTCGAGCGTTCGATTCCAAATTACTGGCTCGCTAAATCGCCACATGTCTGTGGCCGTGGACGATCCAGTCTAACTCGATGTCGCATATACCAGAGTCAAATCGCAAGGCTTCACTGGCTTCAGTAGAGATATCCGTGAAGAGTTATCTTCCCTGACAAGCCGAAATGTTGGTCAGCTAATTAAGCAGCAAAAGCAACGTCAAATTATTTTGAAAAGATTAATGGCATACTCCTACCTACTCAAAAGAAGTACCGTGGCCTTCGTTGGAAATGTGAAATATTGCAAAAACACTTTGCAAAGCATTCAAATAAAGTGCACATTGCCTGTTTTGCATGAGCAACGACTATAAGCCTTTTCATTTATTTTGCTTATATCCTTGTTTTTGTTGCATCATTTTCTCCCTTTGTTAGACTCGAAAACTGTACTACTGCCCCTGGAAGTGCGGCGAAAAGCGAGGGACACTTAGCCAGGTCCTTATCGATTTCAAGAGGCTAATTAAATTCAGAGCGGTCGGAAGTGCACAGAAACCTGCAGGGCTCAGCGATAAAACTCGGCTCGCGTTCCAAAGCAGCGCCGATGGAGAGTTTGTTAAAAGTACTGTTCTCTCGGCGAGGTTTTATCCGATTATCGCCATGATTCGAGCCGACACAGCTGAGCCCATCTGATGGCAATCGAACCACCGCTCTGAGAATGAATGGAGATTCTGTTTGATGGGCACGCCTCGTGCAAAAGTTGAGCGTCCGACGTATGCAAAATTTCGTGAATAAGTAATGATGTTTTTAACATCAGCGAAAGCGAGCTTTTTTTGCACTGTATGTGTGCAGCAACATATTATTGAAGTCTTCTGCAATAATTGTAATGACTTCTATTAAACCCAGCGCTGAGCTGTATACCGATAACAAAGCACCAACAAATCCCCTGTCAGATAACCTTTACCGACGCCCTCAGCTCACTGCACCACTGCAGCCCGGCGGAAGCCGTTCCGATGTCAGCCGGCCGGACCCCGCCGCTCGCAGTGCGCGCCGCTATACCGACGGGTGGCCGATATGTCGGGGCGGCCTCATTTGCCGGAGGCCGCCCGCCGCTGAGGAGGACGGCGTGGCCGCAATCCGTCTTCATTTCACCAGCTGCGGCGCCTCAGAGGCGGGCCATCAAACCGGGATGAGGCCCGGCGCGGCCCAGAAGAAATTGCCTCCGTCGCCACTGGTGATGATGGCTCACTGTTATTACGGCACCTCTTCGCTGCTGGCGTATAAATTCTATCGGCTAGACTATCATGTGGTTAGTTCGAGTCATGGTATTACAAACAGCTGTCGGTTGATTTCAAACGGATCTAAGTTCCTCACTTCCTATTGAACCCAATGACATTGCCGTGTCTTTGAACATTGGACAACACCAGCTGAGTGAAAGAACCCTTCGCGCTGGCGATCTTCACCATTCATCCGCCGCCAGGCGGGCCAGCTGCGGCGGCCTTTGGTCTCAGCTGACCCCATTCTGCCCCGGGGCGACTGACGTCCGCCGCTCGGTCGCCCGCCCGCTCTCCGCCGGCTCGTCTTAGGCCGCTCGGACACGGTCGAGCCCGTATTTCTGGCTACTCTGCTGGAGGGTCGCCAGCTCGGCGGCGGGTCGAGCCTCTTCTACCGACTCGCCACGCGCTCTGACCGCACACTGTGTGACCTCAGCCGCTCGGTGGTCGGCACACCGACATGATGTCCAACAAAGGGGACTTTGTGCGGCTTTAGGGTTGAGACGTAGGATTCAGGCTGGATTTGGTGCCGGGGTAGTGGTGGATGTCGTATCGGAGTCTGAATTAGAGGCATGAGGCTCTCGGTGAACTATGACATTTCCGATAACAATTTCAAAATATAATTGAAGCTAATTCCAGCATCAACATTTGTTTCTAAATCACCTTTGTTTGATGTTTACATTGGTTTCATATATTATTTTCACCGTCGCCTTTGAATCGTTTTTGTTTCCTTCATCCTTGTCCAATGTCCGTCTCGCAGTAACAACTTGCGTAACCAAATTGATTTTGTGTTGAGTGCCGTTTCTTACACAGATTCGTCATCATTGACACAGCCTTTTCTGTGTCGATATATCCATGTCGATATCACTATCGTCGCCGACGCTCTGCAGTAGGTCGGACGTCCGAGAGGTTCCCCCGTCGGTGCCGTCGGCCGCGCCGCGGGGTGTCGAGTCGGGACAGAGCTGCGGGACCCGGCGGGACGCCCGAGGGGTGACGCTCGACCTTGACAGTGGCGACCCCATCCGTCACAGGCGATTGGCTGCCTTCGCGCCACGGGGTTTGTTTGTTTTGGGGAGTGTGATCCGTCAGTGTCATATCGGGAAAAGAACACCGCGTCAGCAACTTTCGACGATCGTGCACGTGTGTTGGTTGGTGGCTGTAGCCTCGGATGTTTTTCCGTATACTTTTGTCCATCAATCTTGCAACTATCTCTTCCCTCCCCCTCTCTCTTCATCTCTCTCTCTCTCTCTCTCTCTCTCTCTCTCTCTCTCTCTCTCTCTCTCTCTCTCTCTCTCTCTCTCTCTCTCTCTCTCTCTCTCTCTCTCTCTCTCTCTCTCTCTCTCTCTCTCTCTCTCTCTCGCTCATCGTGGAATAGCCACTACACTCTCGGTCCGCGTCGAGAGCGTCGGGGGACGACAGCCAGTCCGCTCGATGGCCAACGCGACCACCGACCGACCACCGACCAAACGATATGGAGTTGGTCCGGCCGGCGTGCTCGGCCGACCGTGCTCCGCTGGCGGCCGTAGCCGAGCCGTCGTAGCCGCGGCGTGGGCGTGGGCTCTCACCGCTCACTGGACAAGCTGAGGGAGACCGCCGGTCCTGAGAGGCGGTCCCACGAGATCGGAGGATGCGGACCCAGATGGTCCCGAATCAGGCGTCATCGAACAGCGCCCCGCCCAATTCGCCCGTGCGGCCAAGGCTGCAGTCTGTCCGGCGATGACGACCGCCCGACGATGACCCGTGTCAGGGGAAGGAGGTGCGACATCCGTGTGCGGTGTGCTGTCTTGAATCGTCCGTTTGTATATAGAGAGAGCGAATGTCCTGCGATTGAATTTGTATGCCTGTGTTTCTTGTCCCCGCATGTTTTTGTTTGTGCCCGACTCAGACTCTGGACTGTAATCGCCACGCCCCGCGTGGATTGTCCATGAAGGTAATACATACATACATACATACAGGCAGCCGAGGCGCGCATGGTGATCTCGTTGATAGGGCGGATGGACTGGTGAGGGGGTAGAGAATTGTGATGGACAGTATGAATGGATGGAAGTGACATGGGCTGATGCAAACGGCAACAGAGGAGGCTCGGGATAAATGAGGTATATTGTCAGAATGAACTTTAGGGCTGTCAGCTCACAAGCACTACCGCTATCAAGCACAACCACTAAACGGACGGAGCCGAGTATCGTACTTCTGTAGATTTGATTTAGTTTCTTTATATTTGCCTGAAATACTGTCTTTTATGCCAGTTATTCATTGCTTCATCAAATATTTAAGCGTCGGAAGCTTGCGTAAACACCAGAAGTCCTTCCAGCCTTTTACATTAGGATATTGCGATGGCAAATTTAACGTCCATTCAACTTGATTGCAGTGAATCATTCGGTCTAACTGAATCACCGGCTAGCGACATCGAACAACCGTCCAACATATCACGTGTTCTCAGGTCGCACGGCGTTTTTATCATGCACCGACCCGCTCAAAGACACGCGTCGTCTCGGTAAGCCGGTACTGGAAATAGCGCGGCTCTTTGTCCTCGTCGACCGGACCAATGTTTCCACTTCCTTTCGGCGGCGGCGCGACCAGAAAACATCCACTCCCGGCGGTGTAGACACGCTTTAGGCATTATCGCGGCTGAGAGCCGCACATACCGCCAGTCGGCGACATTGGGTTTTTACGGCGGTCGCGCGGTCCGCCCCCTCACGGCGCGCAGCGTGCACTCACCTTGGACGGCGAGCGAGACCGAGTGAGCGCTGGGCGCGCCGTTCACCGAACAGACGTAGCGCCCGGCGTCGGCGGCGCTGACAGGCCCGATCTCCAGCTGGAAGGAGGGCAGCCGCAGCTGGACCCGCGGCGCGCGCGGACCGCTGACGCCGCCGTCCTGGCTGTAGCGGGCCACCAGCAGCGGCGCCGACTGGCCGCCGGAGCTCGGCGACTGGCCGCAGCCGCGACACGACCAGGTCACCGTGACAGGGTCGGAGACGCCCTCCTGGTCGGGACACGGCAGCGTCACGTTACCCCCGGACGACACCGTGAACATGCTGTCCTCGCCTGAAACGGAGGGACGAGATCGTCAGTGGTCGGCTTTTTCTGCTGTCTTCAAGAATTCCTCTGGTGGATGGGTCATTTAAAGTCACAATATGGCATGAATGAAATATTTTCATGAATGAGCACACACTGCAAAGTGCTCCCCATACTCATTCAAAAATATGAGCGCAATCTGCACAATGTGTAGGCTTGGTAAAGTAGGGTAAATATCTTCCGGGAAATGGTTTGGAAAACAAACGGGATGACTCTATATTTTAGTAAGCCATTAAGCTCGCACTATAACTCAGCAATGCTGCGTTAACTACCACGTTACTGTCCTCCTCTGTCGCCTAAATTGAAATTCGCCACTCCAAGCTTCAACGCTGCGTTATATAAGTCATTGCGACCGGACAGTCTCGGATCATTGCCCATTTCTCATCATACGCTGCGTGTATGCACCCTTCCTCAAGATCCGCTGTTGCATGCTCGATACAGAGCCACGGTTTATCACCTCCGCGGCTAAGTTGTGGCCAGTTACCACTTCCGCCCGTGCAGCCCTGATTGGGCGTCAATTTGTCAATGAATGGAGCGGCGGCAGGCGACGACCGTTTAAGTGCCAGTCCCAGATGCTGTTGCGCTACTGTGAGGACCCTGCAAACTTGGAAGTGTCTCGTTCGGGAATTATGCCCGGCTCGAGGCTCACGGCGCGGTCGTAAACCTCTTCACGCGGCAGTAGGCGCCGTAACGATATGCGGAACGGTCGGCTTTACAGGAGCGCGGACAGGGCAGGGCCATCCCCCGAGTGTCATTGCTCGGTGAGACGGGGACAGACAGGGCACCGCTGTCCTCACGGACACCTGCCGACAGGTGCTCGGCACCGGCGGTACATAGGAGTCAGGCGGGAGTCATCAGTGTAACGGCGTGCTAGTCAGAGGAACTGACAGCACTACAAATTCTGCCGCAGCAATTGAATATAAAAGATGCTTGGGATCAGTGGGCGAGGCGAGGGAACGGTGAGACAGATAGGTGAGAAAACGCCAAACGGGAACCTGATTGAATGGGGTTTTTATCTAAATAAATCGGTGTCGTGTTGGGAAAATTTGTGGCGTAAAATTGATATGCAGCAGCTCTCTTATCTGGGTTTTGTTTGTGTTACTTTACTAATTGCGTGGAGGAACACAAACGCTTTATCAGCTTCTGCCATGTCGCTGACTAGCTTTGTAAGCTTTGTCTTATGACTACACGTTCGGGTAAAAGAAGAAACTTGTTCTGTCACCACTTAACAAGATAAAGGTGCTTAATTAGGACGTCCACATCATTCACTTAACAATGGTAGCTTAAAATAAGATCGAACGGATGAGTCGTTTCGTTTTTATTACCTCCACTTTTTCAGACATCACAAGTTGTCTCATTTTGACATCAGTGTTAGTGCTACCTGAATCAGGACTTTTTTAGATATCTCGGCTTCTATCAACTCACTCCTGACAAACCGAAGTGAAAAAGAGCTTTTCTATTTTATAGAAAATGGGACGTAATTTAAAGTTTGTTCTGCAAACTTGATAACTTTAAAAGAAACATTTCTGCTCTTACAGCTTTCCATAGGTGAGCTGTTGCCTATCTCCGATGTCCTCTTTCGGTCGCAGAAGTACATAACGAGTAGAGTTGCAAAGTTTTCCCAATGGGCTGCTACCGGCACCGCCCCGCCCCACAAAAATTTTCTGGGATACCGGCATGCTACCACGCCCCAAGCAAAAAAAAAAACCGCCAAATTACCGGCATACCGGTAATTTGGCGGTAATTTTAATACGGCATATGGAACTTTTACCACAAAATGTATTTTGCAGTGGCTAAGATTGCTGTTATTTCAATTCAATAGCCTCTTAGTGTCCAAAGTTTGGATCATATGCTGATAATTTTTTTGTGTGCAAAATCAAAAATACCGGCATGCTACCGGCAAGACATGCCAGATACCACGAAAAAACCTGCGGTAGTGAAAAATTACCGGCATGCCGGTAGTGCGGTAGGGAAATTTTGCAACTCTAATAACGAGCCCTCATCTGTAGCCGGTGCTGAATGGGGCCGCGCTCAGCCCGCCGAGTCCGTCGCTCGTTTTGCCACCTGGCTGCCGCCTCCCGGGTATATTCATCGGGCCATCGGCGTAATAATACCCCGGCCTGGTGCGCACAATCAGAGCCCCGGGGGATCCGGGCCGCCGCCACCGGCTCCGGGCTGCTGCCGCGCCCATCGACCGCTCCACCCCCCCCCCCCCCCTACTCACAGCTACACCGGGAGAGGTGTTAAAACACCCCCACCCCCACCCCCACAGCTACACCGGGAGCGGTGTTAATACACCGCCCCCCCCACAGCTACACCGGGAGAGGTGTTATAATACACCGCCCCTCCCCCCCCCCACGGCTACACCGGGAGAGGTGCTAATACACCGCCCGAGGCAGCCAGGTGGCGACGGATCGGGTCAGCCCGAGCAGCAGCGCTTTATGCTGCCTATGGTAGGTACACTATACCACTTGTATCATATTTGTTATCTTTTTAACATAAAGAATGTATTGTTTCACTTACACATTAGGATCAACTCACAAATAAATAACATTAAAAAACGGAAAGAATGTTAAAAATGGCAGTGTGGTAATGCTTCTGAGCCGGAGTGAGCTTGCAAAAATAACTCCGAACGGCTCGTAACAGAAAAACAAGGATCTCGTCTTCTCCTCAGAGCCCTCGCGATGAGATAGAGCAGCGGACGCCCGTCTCGGAATCTGTGTAGCTCATTAATCTCGCCAATTCGTTCCGCTGCATGCCCAATGCCGCTGCGGGGCAATGTCGGTGTCGCGCGCCGCTGCTCGCCGCCGCCGCGTCTCGTTTGGCACCTGGCGACGCGCCGATTCTGCCGCTCCACCGGCGACGAACCGAGCGGCCCCGGCGTCGGTCTCATTATAACAGAGCGAGCTGAATACCTCCCACGCCTGGAGGGTCCGTGATTCCAAACACCGAGCCGGGGTTTTGGTCGAGGTTGTGCCGACTCAGTGCGCCCCTGATGAGCGGGACAGGTAGAGTGGAGGGAGGGTGAGAGGCGAGCGGCAGGGGGCCGAGGACCTACGTGGCTGGGATGCCGGCCCCGCCGGGCCCCTGTGGTGCTCCCCTCGCTAACTCGGAGTAATAGAGTCATCGGCCATGACTCCATTGCCTTTTTGACAGGCATGCTTTTTCCTTTCATTTTCGCCCTTCAGTAGCCAGCTGCCGTGGATGCTGTCATTGTTGCCGTCCGAAGCTGGGCACCGGTTGGTCGCCGCTGGGACACCTCACTGAACGGACGGCGCTCTACTGAGACAGACTGTCTCGCCGGGAATAGCACAGAGGGGCCGCGCGGTCTCCAGGAGGAACACTCTCTTCCGCAGTCGTGAAAACAGGGCGGGCGCATCGCTGGCATACTTTGGTGGTTCTTTGTTGGCGCTCGGCGGGCGGCGGGCGACTCTGGGGACCGGTGTGTGTCATCTGGCTACCGAGCACGGGACGAGAGCGGCGCGACCGAGACGAGCGTGGCGCAGACGAGCTCTGCGCGCCGCTCTAGCCGCAAAATTAGCCCGCGCTCCCCGCGGCGGGCCGCGAGAAGTGATGCCGATGACGGGTTTATCAGCATCGACACGTCATCTGGAGCAGCAGTTGATGTGTTTGGGATCAAAACTTCACGCTTTATGCGGAGCGCTACCGCGAAATCTAAACTAGCTGAGGTGTTTTATTCATTATTTGGAAGCGTGACTCAGGCGTCTGGGCAACTATCTGACCGATAATTCATCGTGACCGCTTCCAAGCAGTGAACGTAACGTAAACAAGGACACCCGTGGATACGATAAGATCAGATCCAAAGAGCAAATAGCCACGCCGATTTCCTATCAACTGGTTAATGATGACGTCCTGTAGTCACGCAATGCGCATTGTTTTGATATCGTTTGGGTAGTGTGTCTCAGACGGTCTGATATTTTTCACTGAGACCGAGTAGGAAAATCCAGTTGTTGTAATAAAACTTCTACGGACTGAACTGAGAGGTTTGTTTATTTCTGAAGGAAAAGTTATTTATCAGTAAATCCAAACAGCACTGCATTTCGCTAAAGCCCTGGATCATACTCGAGTGTCATCGCTAGCTCGATGCAGCCATAACCTCACCACTCCCGTCCTTTTTACCGGCCCTTGTGAGTGCGACCGCTATCGGTGGTCTCGGGGGCCGCGTCCGGAACTCGTTTGCCACTGGTCAGATCTCCTGGGCGGCGCATAATTTACGGTGGCTGGCCGCGGCGCCAGGGCGAGCCGCTCGCGGTGACAGTTCTCTTATCGGCCGGCGGCGTCCGCGATCAATCATTCCCGGCCGGCCGAGCGCGGCACCGCGGCCGGTGTCGGAGCTGGGAGCACCGGGCTCGAGACGGCCGGAGAGCTCCAGGTAGTGTTGGGGTAGGGAAGGATGGGTGGCGGCGATTGGATGTGTATGAGGATTAGGGACTGCTCTGATCGTGCTGAGAACTGAGCAATGTGGTTTGTTATAGAGCATCAGCTCCAATGCTATTTCAAATAAAGCGGGAAAGAATGGAGTGTCATTGGGAGCCCACTGCCCAGACCTGAACAACTGACCTGAACCTGGCTGCACACAGCCAGGCCTGAGCAAATTCGTGGCGTCGTCAACAATGAACAAACTCAGTAAACCAGTTCACTGCCGTAAACTTGTACAATTTTCGACTGGGCGTTTCCAACCTTTTTGGAACGTTTCGTGGCTATCAATATTTCTGCTTGTCACGGGGTGTCCGAGGTGTTATTTACGAGCAGCTGTATCGAGCCCGACCGTTCCGTTATCCGTCGCTTCTGAATGACCATCTGAGCACCGCTGACCGTTTTTATTTGTATAGGAGGTATAACCCCTGCGCACTGTGTCTGACAGCCGCGCCGAGCCGTCTGATAATTCTGACGTTTTTGATCGATCTGGTACTGTTGGCGTCATCGCCCTACCGGCAGTCCCTGACCCC